GAGGATTGGGGGCAGGGTGGGCTCCGTGCCTGGAGTACGGGGGGGCTCACTGGGGTAGGGGGACCCGGAGCTGGGCGCGACCTGCCTGTCGTGGGGCAGACCCTGGGGTGTGGGTTGCGCTGTGGCCAAGCGGAAGAAACTGACTTGGCTGTCTCAGGCTTGCGGGGTGTGGCCCCGTGGGTTTCCGCAGGAGCTGCAATCATCCCTTCCGTGGTTGCTAGTCGCTCGTGGTTGGGGGCAAAGTGCTCTGCAGTCATCCTTGTCGCTCAGGGGCTCGTTGCACTAGGCCAGACACAGATTTGAGCCCTGCTCACCATTCCTGGAAATGGCTGGCCTCAGCAGGCTGTCAGCTTTCCAGTCCTTAGACACAGATCAGACCTAGTCTGCACCCTGGGAATCTGCTGTTCTCACATGCTCCTGTCAACATACTTGTAACACAACTGGTGACTAGGCACTAGTGTTCCAGCCAGATCATCACATACTTTCCCAAATCACTTGGCCCCGGTACCAGTAGTTCAGTCTCTGCCATTTTGATGCCAATGCAGATGGAAGTGTCTGCTTAGTATGAATGTTGCAAATTGTACTTCTGTTACTCTTCTACAGTGCAGTGCTTGTGATCTCCCCAAATCCAGTTTCCCTCAGCACTGTTGAGAACTGGGAGTGAATACCAGATGGTAGTGCAACTGAGATAGCTTTACTAATGACTGAGTGTGGATGGGGGACAAAACTGCATTGGTTCAAAATATGATTTAGTGTGGACAGTGTAGTCACACTGACCATTATACACCAATTGTGGTCCAGTCCCATCAGTTCAGATGGTTAGTTAAGACATAGCCTACTGTGTTTGCTGTTGGCATTATCCAGCTTGCAAAATTCTACTCACTTGCTTTTGAGCAGGTGTTTAAAAAAAAAAAGCTCCCTTTCTTTATCATGGGTTAAGCAAGCAGATTTCTACACCTTTGTTGGCTAACTTTCAAAGTGTGCAAGGCTTCAATAACATGCCCATATAAAGCACAGAGATTGCTATTGAAGGTCTTAGTGGGAAATTAGTCTCTTGACAAGCTGAAAGATACTAGGCTTAGTGGAATGCCAAATGTTTGTGAGCTGCATGCAGAGGGTGCTCTTGAGTAGTTTAAAAGATTTCAGGAAACCCACTCTCTGCACTTGTGGAAGAATTGTATGATATTAATGTATTTTTATTGCTCAACATAGATTAATTGAGGGGGCAGCATGCCCTAGTGCAATCAGAAAGGGCTTTTCCTGTTGCTCTGTGGAAAACTCACATTTATGAAGGATTGTCCAGTGGTTAGGGCATTATTCTGAGGTTCACAAGACCCACAATTCAAGTTCCTACCTTGCCACAAGCTTCCTGTGTGAGCTTTGGAGGTCATTTAGTGTCTGTGCCTTGTCCTTGTGTGAAATAAAAATAATAGTGCCTCCCTATCTTACAGAGGGGTTTCAAGAATAAATATTTAAAGAATGTGATTCCTCCCTCCTAATTTCCTACAACTGTGAAAACTGAAATTGATAAAAATAGAAAAAATGTTCAAAAATAAACGCAGATATTGTCTGTCGATATTTTTAAAAACTGAATTTTATCAAACCTAATTATGATCCAAGTGCTATAATATTGTTTCAGATCTGTGTGGACAGAAATTACCATTTCATAAGTTTGAATAAAATTTAACTAAACTTGGTTTAGTTTACATTAAAATATGGTTAATAGTAGGGATGTTAAATTTTGAGTAATCGAATAGTTGATGCATTTTTGCATTGATTGGTCGATAGGGTGCCTCTGCCTTTGAAGTGCCGTATGGAGCCCTGGGTCGGCTGGGACTCACCCTGGGCTCCGTGCGGTGCTGCTGGTTTGAAATGCCGTGGGGATCCCAGCATCAAGCTCCTTGCAGCATTTCAAAGTGGCAGCGCCACATGGAGCCTGGGATCAGCTGGGGACTCTCTCACTGACCCTGGGCACCAAGCGGTGCTGCCCATTTGAAACGCTGCATGCAGCCTAGGGACACCCCAGCTAGCCCTGAGCTGAACATGGCATTTCAAAGCGGCAGCACCGCATGGAACCCGGGATCTGGCCCCTTCTCCACGTGGCATTGCCACTTAGAAATACCCCATTCTCTTCCCCCTCTGACTTTGCTGCCTCTTTCTGATCGAGGCAATGGGAGTGAGGAGAGTGACTAGTTGACTATCCTGTCGACTACCTGCTCCCTGCCCCCAACGTGTGTAAAAGAGGACTAGGAACGGAGCCAGTGGAACCCCCAGAAATAGTTGAAAGGATTAGGGACATGAGGAGAATCCTTTGAAAAACATACTGAGGGAGCAATGAGAAGTAGGAGAACAAAGAGAAGTCAGTCACTGAAGCTAAAGAAGGATAAAATTCCAAGAATAGCATGGTCTGTGATATCAGAGGTGACTGATAGGTCAAGAAGAATGAGGATGGAGTACCAGTTCAGAAGTCTATTTAGGAATAAATCAGTAAAGACTTTCACAAGAGAGGTTTCATTTGAGTGCAAGAGGAAGAAGACCAGACTGGAAAGGAAATCTAGACAGTAACTGAGTGCCCTGTTACACTTAGTTACAGTTTGACCAACAGATGTCTTGGAGAACGACATCTGTTTACAAGAGTAGCGATGTAAGCGACTAGTTGAGTCACTACTTGAATAGTTGCTTCCCCCCCAGCAAAAGTGGTGGGGGAGCAGGAGCTGGTGCTGGGGGGAGCACTGTCTCTGTGGGAGGCAGAGGTGCAGTGGAGGACCTGGCATGAGCCGGGACTGAGCAGTCTTGGCTTGTACCCAGTCCCAGACCGCTGTGGCTCTGCCTTTTAAAAATTAGTCTACTAATGATTAATCACCTAATCAAATAGTTGAAGCAGTTTGCATTGACTATTCGATTGCTGGATAAGGGCACCTCTGCCTTTGAAATGTAGCAAGAGCCTTGCATTTAAAAAGCAGAGCCACAGCAAATCTCCTTATTGACTAATCGAGCAGTCGATGGAAATTCCATCAACTACTCGATTAACTTGCTAACCAGTATTTAACATCCCTACATACCAGGTATGAAATCAAGCCCTAAGGTTCTTCACTTGTATCTGTTTTTCTCAGTTGCACCACTGCTTCTGATTACCCTCTCTTTCCACAAGTTCTTCCTTTTTTCTTCACGGGAAAAGAACATAATTTTTTGAAAGGAGCTAGCAAGTGCTTCCATATTTTAATATGGATCCCTTCCGATCCATTCCACAGAGAAGATAAGCAGTTGTAAAACTACACCATTACCAACACAGATAGTTAATGTTAGGAAAACAGTGTATTTTTAGCATTCCTTAAGCATTGTTTAGTAGCTGAATGGAGAGGGAGCCAGCACTAATCAGCTCTCCATGGACAACCCAAGCACTCTGCAGACCCCATTGGGGAATTTGCCTCATGAGATCATTCAGTTTTCTTATGTACTCTTACCATAACAATTGCCCCACTACCTCAAGGTCCCATACTGCAGTGACTCTCTCTACTGCCTTTTCAAGCTGTACCAGGCTCCCTTATGGAGCTTCTTAACGCTACAATAAAAAAAATGTGTTAGTCTTTAAGGTGCCATGGGACTTCTGTTTTGAAGATACAGACTAACATGACTACTCTTCTGACACTTCTTAACACTGAACTATCAGTCCTAGTTAATGCTGAAAAACAACTACTTAAACACATTTGGGAATAATCATATTTTGCAATTGTGTTCTGCAACGTTGATGTGCTTTAAGCATTAGGGATGTAAAATCCTGTGTAATTGGTTAACCAGTTAAACATAACATTATGGTTAACCAATTAGATAGAATAAGGGGGGGGCACTCCAGCCCAGGTGGGCTGGAGCAGCTCCCACCCACCAATTGCAGCTGGGCTGGAGTGGGCTCCCCCCACTGCAGATGGGGTTTGCTCCTCTTGACCTAGAGCACCACCCGTCCGCAGTGGGCTTTGCGAGCATGCTGTCTGTAGTAGGTGAGGATGCTCCAGCTTCCACTAGTTAATGGTAACCAGTAAGCATCACCCGTTAAACATTCATATTCCTACGAGATATTGTAGTATAGACAGTTGCTTACTAAAGATGTTAAATTTAGATTAATTAACTAATGGAATAGTTGAAGCAATTTGCATTGACTATTCGATTAGTTGATAAGGGCACCTCGGCCTTTGAAATGTAGCAAGAGCCCTGCCTGCTGTTGCTACATTTCAGAAGCAGAAGCGCCATGGGAGCAGGAGGTGAGCGGGGGACTCAAGTAGTAGCTCCCCACACACGCTTTGCTTTTGAAATGTACAGGAGCCTGGGGTGGGGGGCTCTTGTACATTTCAAAAGCAGGGAGTATGGGGCCAATGGGGGACTGCTTGAGTCCCCGGCTTGCCCTCTGCTCCTGCGCACTTCTGGTTTTGAAATGTAGTAAGAGCTCCATTCTTGCTACATTTCAAAGGCAGAAACACTGCCAGTTCCCTGCTGCTCCCCTGCCTCCTCCTCCACGCGGAGATGCTGGTGGGTGGAATCAGCTTTTAAGCCAGCTCCCTCCCAGCACCGGCTCCTGCTCGCCCCCTTACTGCCTCTCTCTGATAGACAGCAAGGGGCAGGGGGAGCGACTAAGCATATGCTTATCGGATAGTTGACTAGTCACTTACATCCCTATTCCTTACAAACTAAAGAAGGTTGTAGCAAGAACAATGTGCAGTCAGTTCAAAAGCGTTATCATTTGAATATACTGTCTGTTTGGGAGGCAGCCTTGCTCCTTATCTGCCACGTGACAGTAATTGTTTTTTCCTCTCCTCCTGCAGTTGGGAAGACATCTCTGATCACTAGGTTTATGTATGACAGTTTTGACAACACTTATCAGGTGAGTGGGATTCTGCTTCTTTTATCAAAATTCATCAAATTCCTGCATTAGTTGGGAGGAACTGACCTTTCAAGAACTGTGGTAGAAACTACTTATGTCTTGGCTAATAGGTCCACCAATGGCTATCTTCCATGACATCTTGGTGCTATGGGTAGATAGGTAAGATGTAGAACCTGTGTAACTCGCCTTCCTGACAGAGACTACACTGTTACCTGCTAGCACTGTGAGTTCCCCAGCAAAACAGAATACCTAGACAACTCAGCATCAGCGTTTTGCTTTCTTCTCAGAGACTGTCAACAACGTAATTGCCTACAGTTGTGAGTTCCCATATTGCCCTTTCGAAGCAAGCACGCTTAAAGTGAAAGCATTACAAAGAAAACATAAACATAGACAAACCTACACCCACCAATTAGCTTACCAGAAAGAATTGAAATCCACCAAGGGCTTTTGTAGATGATCATTTTTTTCAAACCCCACCTCAGGGTTTCTCTGGTTACCTGTGTGACATTCTGTACTCTGCAGGAGTGCCCTCTAACCCCCAAAAGTTCCTTCTTGTCTCGTACTATATTTAAATAGTTTTTTGAAGCTTAGAGTGCTTCCTGTTATTTACATTGGTCACATCTCCTCCCTAGAGAAGCTAGGCAGTCCCACAAAACACTCACGATTTTCATTTGTAATACTATTCCAAAGCTACTTAAGCATAATTTACTAAGATCTTGCAAAGATATTGCAGACAGTTGTCATATCTGTCATACTTCGTAAGACATTCTCTCATGGATGGACTGAGGCAACTAAATGCACATGAATAGCCTTATTTGGAAGTTCATGAAGATTTTTGAGACTAATACATATTTGCAGATAAGTATAAGGTAGGGATGTCAATGTGTATCAACGTGTAGATGACTACATGATTAACTGATAAGCCTGATCTTATCGGTTACTCTTGTCGACTACATGCATCCTCCCCTGGGATGGGGAGGGGAGACTGCCATGAAGCAGCTTCTGTCTGGGGAGAGTCCAAGCTCCCCGCAGACAGAAGATGCTCTGGCATCTCATGGACCAGCTCCTGTCTGTAGGAGCTCCGAGCTCCCCACAGACTGGGGTTGCTGCCAATGGAACAGCCTCTGTCTTCCGGAAACTCGCCCCTCTCCCCATCCTCTCCCAAATAGGCGCTGCTGCCACCCCTTGCTGCTGCTTTTCTCTCAGCTGATTTTTAAACTGGCTCCCCTCATGGACCAGCTCCCGCCTGCCACCCCGTGCTTCTGCCTCTGATACAGAGGCAGCAGCATGGAATGGCAGGGAGCTCCCCAGGAGTGGGGCCAGGAGCGCACTGGCTGCCAGCCTACCCCTAGGGATTATCAAATAGTCATGTAACCGCTAAAATGTCATGCAGTTACACAACTATTCAATTACACACTATCTAAGAACCCTTGTATAAGGGGAGAAATTGCAGGTTACTAAGATTTTTTTCTTTTCAGGCAACCATTGGAATTGATTTCCTGTCAAAGACAATGTATCTAGAAGATCGCACGGTGAGTGAGGATTCTGTAATTAATCTAGCAAATGTAGTCACAAGAGCAGCAGTTGCCCATGTACACGATGTTTCTGCCTGGCTGTTCATGCAATGGTCATTCCTCCAAGGCCCACAACAGCCTTTCCAAGGACAGTGTATAACAGGAATTGTCGGACCTGGTCAGGCTAGTAATCTGTCTTGCATGAAATTCTGTTTCTTGTTGTACTGGCTCAAACCATTGGTTCTGTTTCTGGTACTTGTGATATTATTTGTTGCTGCAGGGGAAGGCCGATAAAGCATTAAGCAAAATTGGGTCAAGTTCACAAATCCATATGCTTTGAGAAAAGAAAAGAAAATCTTTATGTTGTCCTTTTTGCTGCTATATCACAGGCATACCATGCACATTCTCATAGGTGACTACAGTGCTGTCTCTGGGACTGTCGATATAAACTAATCTAAGTAGATCAGAGGCGATTCTGTTCTGTGAAGTCACTGAAGATTTCTGAGGATAACAAGGGCCCTCCTCACAAGGCAGGTGGCTGGTTATGTCAGTAACATAACTCTAATCTATAGCATTGGGATAACTGAAATATATATCTGAACAAAATCAGTGAATGAAGGAAAATGTTCAGTGAAGCAACACAGCTAAGTGTGTAGTCTGCAGGAGGTCCCCTGTACATAGAGGCGACACCTAGATTCCTCTTGATATATTTGCCTGTTGAATTTCAAATAACTACTCTTTACTGGCTGAGCAGGTGAAACTGGCTTCCTTTGGAGACAGTCACTGCTGCACTTGAGTGATGCAATGCTTACCCTTCTGGTCGGGTGGCCCTGGGCATGTTGCCTCTGCACCTGATCTTCAAACAAGAGCAACATCCCTCTGGTCCACTATGGCAGAGAATGAATTTCCTAACTGCCTTCCCCACTCATTATTTCCACTGCTAGCTTTCTGGGTCATGTAGAGGCACCATCAAAAACCATAAAGCCTGTTAAATGTGAGCAAAGATGACAAAATGGGTGATAAGAGAGGAATAATTACACTTGCTCTCAGGTGGTCTGAATGTCTCTTCTCACAGGGCCTTGTAAACTTTAGCACCAGCCATGACTGAGACAAGATTCTGGTTGCCATGTTTGGATGGAAGCACTGCGTGCACAGTAGCCTAATTAACATTTTGGTACACATTCGGTTTGGCATCTTTGATGTATCCTCTCTAAGCTATCTTTGTTCCAGATGCTCAAACTCTAAAGCAATTCTGCACAGTACTAGCACACAAAATAGACAACTGTCTGTAGCCCCTAGTGCATGTACTTTTCATTCTCAAAAGCAACTCTTAAGTACGTTGCCAAAAAAACCCATTCACAGGCTTTGACTATAGGAGACAGAGACAAACATACTGCTTACAATGTTTTGCTTATAGGGTGTCTGACACACCAAACTAAGTGGAGTGTTGAGGAAGCTCATTTACCCTAATGAGTACCCATAATTGTCAGACGGAGCTCCATGGCACAGCTACAGCTGCAGGTGGGAGGACCGGTGAAACGTTATCCTTCACCTCCCATTATTGTTCACTAATAGGCTGAATTCTCAAGTACTTGTTGGTGGTTCTTCATATTATGAATCTTTAAATTGTCTGATCCTGGAATGGAGGACAGGAATGGGCTGCTGAGGTGTGGAGAGATTTGGTCTGGAACTGAAGCTCCACTTGCCCTTGTCTGGGTGCCACTCCCAAATCAGCATGGCTGGTAGGTTTTTCTGGGTACTTTTAGGGCTGGGGTTTTCTTGTGGAAAACTGGTTATGGATGGCACAGCCTTCATCAAGAGGCAAGATAAATTACTGTGGGATACTATGAAATCTGAGTGAGCATAGAGGGTTTACAGGTGATCCTGATTGTTAGGCTCTCAGGCAATGGCTCCCAGTGTTGTTTGTTGTAGGTATTCTATCTTTCCACAGTGGGATCCTCTCTATTTTGCACATGAGTGACAGGCCAGTTTGGAGGTTGATAACACTATATCAGGAGAGCAGACATCCCAATTAAAAATGGCTGGTGCCTCAGGCATTATCCTACCTTTGTGCTTTAGACCTTCTAATGAGAGTAAATAAAGTCTCTCTCAGCTCCATAATGAGCTAATCCTATGACAGGCTTCAGGATGGTTTCATCTCCATGTATGAGGTATGATTGAAAACTAGGGTTGTTAAAAATCATTTAATATGGTAACCATGTAAAATATGGGTAAGATCAGATGAGAAACAGTCAAATGAAACATCGGAAAATGGCAGACAGATAAAAAATAGTGACACATTTTGAAAGTGATTATGCACAAACGTTAGAATTCTAAATAATAAGATGGGTGAACTAGAGTGCCTCCTTGGTGGAATGAGGACAATCAATGGGGCACAGTCATATCAGGGTACAAAATATATTGGAAGGACAGAACACATCATGGTGGTGGGGCAGAGGCACTGTATGTGAAAGAAAATGTCAAATCAAATGAAGTAAAAATCTTAAATGAACCAAAATGTCTCATAGAATCTTTATGGATATTAATCCATGCTATTCTTATTCCATAAGAATATAGGGATATATTATTGACCACCTGACCAGGATAGTGATAATGACTATGAAATGAGATTAGAGAGGTTATCAAAATAAAAAACTCAATAATAATGGGAAATTTCAACGATCTATATACCAACTGGGTACACATCGCTTCAGGACAGGATGCAGAGATAAAATTTCTTAATATCTTAAATCACTGCTTCTTAGAGCAGCTGGTTCTGGAACCCACAAGAGGACAGACAATTCTTGATTTAGTCGTTAGTGGAGCACAGGATCGAGTCCAAATGGTAAATATAACAACTGCTTGGAAATAATGTGAGTATAATGTAATAAAATTTCCCATCCCTGTGATGGGAAAAACCTCAGCAGCCTGATACAATGGCATTTAATTTCATAAAGGGGAACTGCACAAAAATGAAGATGTTAGTTAAACTGAAATTAAAAGGTACAATGCCAAAAGTAAAATCCCTGCAAGCTGCATGGAAACTTTTCAAAGACATCATAATAGAGGCCCAACTTAATTGTATACCCCAAATTTAAAAACACAGTAAGAAAACCAAAAAAGTGAGATTGGCTTAACCAAGTAAAAATAAGTGACGAGAGATGAAAAAGTAGAGAGAGATAAAAAGGCATCTGTTAAAAAGTGGAAGGCACATCCTAGTAAGGTAAATAGAAAGGAACATAAATATTGTCAAATTAAGTGTAAGAAAATACTAAGAAAAGCCAAAAAGGAGTTTGAAGAACAGCTAGCCAAAAACTCAAAAAGTAATGCACATTGGCAAAAATAATCCCAACTATACATACAATATGATGAAGACTAATTTAGCTATAACCACTCCAGAGAGAGATCATGGATAGTTTTCTGATAACATCCACTCAGTCTGCAGCAGCAGTCAAAAACCAAACAATGTTAGAAATCATTGAAAAAGGAATAGAAAATAAGACAGAGAATATTTTATTATATAAATCCATGGTATGCCCTAATCTCGAGTACTGTGTAAAGATGTAGTTGCCTTATCTCAAAAAAGATATATTAGCATTGGAAAAAGTTCAGAAAAGGACAACAAAATTATTGAGGGTTTAGAACAAGTCCCATATGAAGAAGATTGGGACTTTTCATCTTAGAAAAGGGGGGATATGATAGAAGTCTATAAAAACATGACTGGTGTGGAAAAAGTGAATAAGGAAAAGTTATTTTCTTGTTCCCATAGCATAAAAACTAAGGGTCATCAACTGAAATTAATAGGTAGCAGGTTTAAAACAAACAAGAGGAAGCTTTTCTTCATATTGTGCACAGTCAGCCTGTAGAACTCCTTGACAGAGGATGTTGTGAAGACCAGGACTTAACAGGGTTCAAAAAAGAACTAGATAAATTAATAGAGGTTAGGTCCATCAATGGCTATTAGCCAGCCTGGGTAGTACTGGTGTCCCTAGCCTCTGTTTGCCAGAGGCTGGAAATGGATGACAGGAGAGGGATCACTTGAGGATTAACCTATTCTGTTTACTCCCTCTGGCGCATCTGGTATTGGCCACTGTTGGAAGACAGGACACTGGGCTAGATGGACCTTTGGCCGTTTTTATGTTTTGTTCTTAGATATCTGCTAAAAATGTTAGTGGTTACATGTGCTGTGCACTCTGCAGTATAAAGCTCAGCTTTATACTGCAGAGCCTGTAGTGAAGCCTACCTGCCTGGCTCCCTGGGAGTGGGCTTTGCTGCCCTGTTGCTGTCTACCTGGGAGCCGGCTGAGTGCAACCAATACCATTAACCAATGAACATCTGCTTATTGGTTAATCGGTTACATCGGGGTGGACAAAAGGGCCTCTGTGGGCTGGATCTGGCCTGCCAAGTGGGTTTATCCAGCCTGCAGATGCCTGCTGCTCCCCCTTCCCCGTAGGCCAGTCAGGGCCTGGGGACAGGGGAACACATGAAGTCTCCTCCCCGGCCAGTGGCATGCGGCACTTAGTCAACCGCTAGGGTTGACTCTAAGCACCACACGCCCCTTGCAGGGCTGGGGCATGGAACAAGAGACTTTGCATGCTCTCCCTGCCCCCAGGTCAATAAGGGCCTGCGGGGTGAGGGGCAGCACATGAAGTCTCCTATCCTACCCCTGCCCTGCAAGGGGTATGCGGTGCTTAGAGTCAACTGACAGCTGAGTAGCTGGCAGTTGACTCTAAACATGATGTGCCTTTTGCAGGATGGAGATGGGGGGGGGAGGGGCGGAGACTTCATGTGCTCCCCCTGCGCCCAGACCCTGATTGACCTGATGTCAGGGGCACCGTGTGAAGTCTCCGCCTGCTGCCAGGAGCGCAGGCACCTAGAGGGATCATGAGAGGGGGGCGGAGCAGCAGGGGCAAAGACTTCATGCATTTCCCACACCAGGGGCAGATGACTGTTTTGCGGGGCCCCGGGCAGCGTAACTCCGCGGGGCCCCCCCTTTTGCCACGGTACATGCGCGGGGC